TATATGGTAAAGTACATAAAATGACAGGGGAGTAATAATAAGTAAGTATGACTTTCTTTGCTCATCATTGTAAGGATTCTTAGTAAGAATTATATGTGGGCTTCCTTCCCTCCTTTGCTCCATGTCCTCTAGGACATTCCAAAGAAAGAATACCACGAAGTCACAAACATTCCAGTTTTTAACTTCAAATGTGGTCTAATTGTTTACTTCAGGTTTGTTTGGTTGCTATTGAAAATAACACTGCCTAGGTAGGCTTCTAAAAGTAGGTGAGATGTGTAATTTTATAGTGGGCAGAGGTAGCATGAGCATCAATTCTGTCCAGCTCTGTAAAAGAAGAGCTGTTCCTTGTGCATCACAAGGAGCATGAATGCTACTATTTGCAGGTGGTGTGTGTGCAAAAAGAATCCTAAAGGACTTCACATCTGCAGGAAAAAAAAAAAAAAAGGAATTTTGGAGATGGTAACCAAAAGTGAACTATCAGGAGTCTGAAAAGAATTTTAAAACACTGCTTTCTTGAGTGGATCCAAAGATTTCCTAGTACCTAAAAAACTGCAAAACTTCTCCCTAAAGCAAGGACTAAAAATGAAGTTGAATGCTTTCTTCCCTACCTCCCAGGATACACTGGAAACAAGTATAACATTTCTTATTGAGGTTCTGTCAGTATATGATCTGAATATAAGTTTTAACGTATTATCAACAAAAAAAGGAAAAAGAGGATTCTCTTTCCCCACATCATCATCTCTCTCAATCAGAATACATTTTGAGATCCAGAAGTTGCAGAAATGCTGTTAACTTGTATGTTTATATTAGAACATGATTGGGCGTACTCCTCTATTTATATATATGTATATTAGTGCATCTATTTCAGATACTATTAGGACTGAAATTCAAACAGCTGTTTTGGAACCAAGTTGCCGTAAAAAGATTCGTGAGCAACCAAAAGTTGAGAGATTATCTAATAAGTCTGTGAGGAAAAGAGCTCCCTCCTACGACAGGACAGGTTTGTGAGTCTTACTATCGGAGAGCCAGACTATGCCCTTAGTTATACCATAAAGCCAATGTATTTACTTCAACTTTACCTTGATACAGTGGGAATACACACAACTGCTGCTCTCTGTCCTCATGCTCTCTCCCCTTATGGTAACTGTAGAGAGAAAAATAATCGTGATACAGTTCTAAATTAGAGCGTGCTGTCACTTTAAACCTATTTTGAAGACAAACTTGTTCCTCTATGTCTAGCTTTGGCTCTTTCTTTTTTTTTTTAATAACCAATACTAGACCAGAGCTTAATACACTTTCATATAGCACTTGAATTTGTATTTTAAGGCTGTCTATGACTAATTACAGTTTTTTTTTTTTTTAATAAGAGAGATGTCTTAAAGAACAATTACATTTTCCCACTTTTATTCTGGAGTGAGTGTGGGGAAATGCTCACCATTTCTCCATTAAAAATATCTGTCATTCATTGAATTTGAAAACTTGGAGGTACTGATGCTGCAAGTGTGTTCAAATCTCTTTTTGTAACAAGCCTTTTACCTTATCCATGTTTTAATAGAGATTAGATTGTGGAAACACTTGTGGAAACAATTGGTTTATGCTTTCTAGAAAGTCTCTATTTTTTTTCCATAACTTTGTGGAGACTTTTATTAAACCAAAGTGCTTTTTTTCCTACACAGGACTGTTTAAATTGGTCTGATTTCTTAATGGGCAGTATGTTTCCATATGCAAAGGAATTTTGTTTGTATTAGAGAAAAAAAAAAAAAAAGATTTCTGGTCTCTTTTCAACTTCTCTTTGCTTAGCTGAAATCTCTCCTTCCCTTCAGAGGCTTTTTTTTTTCTTTTTTTTTTTTTTTTTTTTTGGGGGGAGGGGGGCAAAAGCCTATAGCCAGAAGTTATGTATGTTTTTTTTTTTGTTTTGTTTTGTTTTGTTTCCTCCAGTGAGTGTTTTCAACTTTGCTTTGTAAAATACACAAAGGTCTAAATCACTGGCAATTGAATTCAGTATGATTCAGCTGAACTCCTGTTCCCTATTTGCTCAAAAATATATTTGGAATACTTGAAAGCCTGGCATTTTTTAGAATGAACATTTAAATCATCTTCTCAATTTCTTCCATCGGGATACTAGTCACACCAATTCTCCATACCCATTTGGTGTGTCTTCTGCAATGAATCTAAAGACTGTATGTTTGTGAGAAAAAAAAAGAAAAAAAATCTCTCTCTTTGGTATGCTAGAACCAATTGATGATGATGTTATAAAGCATATTTTGAGACTTCGAGGCAAACTTGGTTGGGAAACAAAGTTACCATCATGTGACTATTTAGCTGGAGAGGCTGATGTGACCAGGCATGAGAAGTTTGCATTTATGGTAATTTTCACCTTCCATTTTCTACTTTTGGTACAATTATACTCCAGGAGTAATGTTGATAATAAATCTAAAATATTTATTTATTGAATATTTCTGCTTCTGCAAATGATAATTATGTCCTTGAACCAACAAGGCATTTACCAAGAATAGACTGTTAACAGAATTTAATTCTAAACCTTAAAAATAGGAAATAGAAGCTGAATTACATTTTGCAATGGGCAGAGTTATGCTATAATGCTGGAAAGAGATGAACATAATAGTGGTGCCAAGAATTATTTATTCTATATCTGGATGCAGAGAAGTCGCTTAAACTGTAGCTAGTACTCTGCATAACTCAGCTATTTGAGTACTACCCAAGGTATAGAAGAGCCTCTAGGATAACTATGATGATGGCTGTCCTGAGCAGACATGCTAAGTATGGCACTGATTTTTGTCATTTTGGTCTGCTCCTGATGCAGCCAAAATAGACTGCTATGGAAGTGTACAGGAGTAGGGAGCCTCCTGTGCTCAATTACTAGTTTGGTGCACTAAGAGACAGGCAGACACATAAATATATTGATTATATTGAATATTATCATCCACAAATGTTGTGCGTACATCATGAACAAGCGAAATAGCTGGTAGAGCAAAGATACTTTGTCTTGTTTTGTCAAATAAGAAATAGTAATGTTTAGCTTCTTGCTGGTAGAGCAGATGAATAATTATTTAGAGTGGAGCTGACAGAAAAACTTTATGATAACTTTCCAATCTATTCAGTATTGTTATTTGCTGAGCTTGTTATTAGAAAATTTTGGTACTTGGTTATTTTTCTTCTCATAGTGAAATATATAGATATATAATTTGCAATAATGAAAAATGAATTACATATCTACATATAAATCACTTCCTCTTTTGATAGAAACCTTTACTGCTAAAAGATAGTGGAGAATATATATACTGTCTTCGAAGAGACAGGAACAACTTGAAAGCTGCCTATAACCCATATGATTTGCAGGCTGTCTCTGTGAATACAGCTAGACAAAGCAAAGAATATTGGACTGTTACAGCATCATTTGTGTCTAAGGTAGTAGTATATTGTTTAAAACACAGATAACATGAACCCAAAGATTTACACAGAAAGAACCTTTTTTATTTTTTCACGTACATGTCACACCTGTTATAATTATGTGACCTTATTTGTTTAAGTGCTTACAGGTCCTGTAAGACAAATGTTTTTTGGTTTTGAGCTTAAAATAGCTGATAGTTTGTTCAGGCTTGTATTTAGGTCTTGGATCAGCTTGAATTGGCAGGAACATCAGGAGAGGTCTAGCTTGGTTGCTAACTAGCACCCTGCTAATCCATTATCTACATTTTTGGGCATGTTGATGCACATAATTCTGAGTGTTTGAATTTCACACAAGGGCATCTTTGCTGATGATTGTACATAGAATTTGTAATGTTTGTGCCTTATCTTTCTTTTTTTCTTTTTTTCTTTACCTTGTAAGTAGGTAAGTCCTTAGAAGTTGATCGAAATGATTAATCTTTGTTTAGTCTTGAGCAGCATTTCATTTTTTAAAAGTTTATTCTTTACCTCAGAATGAGGTTTCATGATTGCTCTTACGGCTGTGTAAGGCTGCTGAGTGGCCGGCTCTGAGCGGCACTTTCCATTTTGTTGTCACTGGTGATTCTGTTGCTGGTGTGTTAGATCATCTCATTAATTGAGCTGAAAGTGAATAAAAATATTTTGTATGTGTATTTATTTGCTTGCCAAGTTAATTTTCAGTCAGATTGGAGAGCTAATCCAGCTCACTAAGAGCACAGAGTATTGATATGCCTAAAAGGACTAAAAATAATGCCTCTTAAGAATCTAACTCTATATTGCATGATGTTTCAGCAGTTCTTAAATGTCTTTGTGAAAACTGGATTTCTGCTTCATCCTTGAATCCTTTATTCTCTTTGACATCAGTAACATTGATGCAGTAGTATAGCAGGAGCCTTGCATGGAAAAAGTGATAACGGCTTCGTTTGCATAATTTACATAATTGGATTGTTGCTGGATGCTGAAGTTAAACTTTTCATTGCATATATGAAATACACAACAATGTCAGAAAATTACGAACATTGCTTAGATACTCATGTTATTACTTGCATTAAGATTGCAAAGATTTATTTGCTACTAGTGGAGGTATTAAGATTTTATAAAACCAGACTCCTTTGCCTTGAAAGTGCTTGCTACAGTGCATATGTACAGTCTTCAAATACAAAGAGATTTGTTCCAAAATGTCTCATAAGATATTCCATTTGCTTTGGCTAAAACACAGAGTGATTAATTCAAAACAATTACTTAGTACTTAGCAGCAGATCTGCTATCTCTTATACTCCTGTGAAAGGTAGGGACTGATATGTCAGTAACATCTGTCCATTTCCAATTTGCTGTTTCCTGGCCAGTTAGATCCAGCCTGATGTTTGAAAAGAGATTACATTAATATACAAATCTCATTTTTGTAGTCTTTCACACAGAAATGAGCATTCCCCTGGGAGACTGGAAGTTCACTTTCCTAATATGTTACTGATTTGTTTTACTGATTTGTTTGTAGGTGGTGGTTTTCCTGCCTGAAAGATACAGCAGAAATTTAAGAAAAGTGGGTGGTGGTTTTTTTTTTTTTTTTGGAGATAGCTGCTGAAAGCTTTAAGGTGACTACTTTAGGTGGATATAGCTGCCCAGGCTGTACTGGAAATCTTTCCAAGTACTAATTCTCTTTTCCTCTTGTTCGGTGCTGCATCTTGCAGTAACAAAAATAAATTGATATTCCATAGTTTCTCTTGCTAACAGTAAATATTTACATTCAGATTTATCCTTTTTATATACTTTGTCCAAGGTAAGTATTTTTATGCAGGAAAGATATTGAATGGGCCTAAATGAAAGTGATTTTTAAAATGTGCTAAAGGGGTTTCCTGATAAGGACGGAATTGAACATCCGGCTAAATACTTTCCTAAATAGTGTCTGTGTGCATTTCATATGTTTTAAATGATAGAAACATCTTCCTATTTGTAATGATAAAACTATTCAGTAACTAAAGACTTATTCAAATTTAAATGCAAGCTGCATGGATAGATAAGATAAAATGTTGTGAATGGTGCAACCACAGATGTCATCTGATTTCGTATGTTTTGTTTCCGTGATGATGAAGATTCCATAACACTTGTCAAATTTATTTAATAAGGAGTAATATAATGTTGTTGTTTTTTTTTTTTAATTTAAACTAGTTTTCTGCAGAGCATAAATTGGGAGAAATAGAAATGATACCTGTATCACAGTGGTTGCGTGAAAGACAACTGTATTATAAATTACTCAATTTTAATGTATTCACCAATTTCAGGTAAGAAATTAAGAGAAAATTAAAATTAACCAATTACAGTAATAGCTTTCTAATATCTTTGTATCCTAAAATACCAAATTGTTCCTTAATACTGTGTTATGTCTTGTACCGGTGTTTTTAAGAATTACAGTATTTAAAGATTACTCTTTTTTTTTTCTCCTGATACCTAACACATTAAAGGAACAAGAAATCCTTCTCTCTGCTTTGTTATTGTTTCTTCTAGCTTTTTTAGCTGTAGGAAAAAAAAGTAACATTATCTCTAGTAATATCTTCATAGGCACTAGATTCCAAGAGCTTAGTTTATTCTTTTGTTCTCTTTGCTGTTGCAGAGAATGTGTGACATAGCTAGTACAGTTGACCTCAGAGAGAATGCACCTGAGCAAGTTGTATAGTCTGAAGTAGAAGAAAGTATTTACTGATGAAATTGCCACACTCTTTTAGTAGATTGTTATGGAAACATCAGTAAAAACATAACCTCTTGCTTAAACATCCATCTCTTGCCCACTGGCTTCCAAATTTTACCATTAGTACTTTTGATTATTTGTTTCCAATTTCTATTTGGAAGTTCACCTGGGGAATATTTCTGAATGTCACTCAGTTTTGAGATTTGATCTCATGTTGCTCCTGTTCCTTTTGTACATGCATGTTTTTTGTCCATGCATCAAGCATGACACAGTAATCACAAAAATTCCCATGTTTGGAACTGCATTTTATATAGGCCACATCTCACATTTGAAAATTATTTAAAATAATCATGGCCTTATTTTCTAACATCATCCACAGAATTCTGCTGATGTTAGTAAGTGAATAGATTTGTATGTGCCAGGGAGTTAAAGATCGCTGTGATGGGAGTGTTTAAAAGACTGAAAAATCAAGCTGGTTTTAGGCTTTTAAACAAAACATTACTAGTCTAGCATTCTTTCACCACATGCTTCATGCTGATATCTAGTTCTTCCTTATTATCAGATGTTGTCACTACATATTCATGCAGTTGGTTGTTTGCAAGCTTCAGAGGTGAGCACACAGTGTGACAGAGCTGATGCACGTGGTGCCACAGCACAGACACTGCTGCCCTGAGTCACTGAGGCTGAAGTGACAGGACTCAATACCTCTTTACCAAGCGAACCTGAAACCATAGTGAACATCTGCTGTCCTCCCTGCACCAAACTGGGGGGTTTACTGTCTGACGGGCTATATGGAGTTTCTAGATAATTGGTCTCTCCCACTGGACCAGGTGCTACAAGAGCTTAGTGGGTGCTTTATTAGGCACCATCAAGTGGTTATTGAGTGCTTGACTGCTTTTCTTAAGACCAAAGCCCAGCTGCTCAGGTGGTGCTTTATTAGTAATTGGCCAGTGCTGAGTTATTTATGCCTCTGGGGTTCTGCTTTCAATCTGTGCCCATTTTTTCAAGTTCCAAGCTTAAATTACATCACAACAAGAGACACCTGCTACCAACCTCTGCTTCACCCAGAAGCCCTGATAAGCAAGCCTAAGGGGGCTAGGTCTTGTTCTGTGGCTGGCTTGCTAGTAACCATGCAGTAGCTGAAGAATGTTTTTACTGGCCTGTTGTGCTCAGAAATATTTAAGCAATTATGGAATATCAGAGTGTTCACATTTTAGAAGATAATTTTAAAGTCTCCTTAATGTACCTTTTCTTTCATAGGTACAGCTGATGCCTCTGCTTTAGCTATGCACTTCATTCACCTGTCAAGGTGAATATTTGGCAATATTCGGGGAATCTTTTTAGAAACCAGAGATTGGCTAGATAGATCTCAGCATCTGTCTCCAGATTCAATGTGATGTCTGTTAACGAGCTGTTGTGACAGCTGGTATGACAGTCTGTAAACTTTATGTGCATAAATAATTATTTCTTTTGTTTCTAGGACGAAGAAATATTTTTTTGTCTGGAAAATCAATGCTAAAAGAAGCAAGGCAAATAAGAGCGAGTCAATCTGAATGTAGGTTTTTCATACGAAAATTTATGCATTTATCTTGTAAAAAAGCCTGAAACCTTAATCTGGACAAACCTGAGCTTTAATTTGGTATTTGTCTAGTGCCTAGTACGGTAGGATTCTGCTCTATGACTAGAGATGTTCAGATATAAATAGGATAAAAATAATAATTAATATAGTGTATTCTATTGTAAAGTCAGAGTGATCATACCAAACCCAGGTAAACAAATCCCG